TGTTTATCGAATTCGAATTTTCTCACATCTCGGTGTGATTCTTCATGATTGAAAGGTGCCGATTTTGTTCGCAGTGTTATTCTCGAAATCTTCGAGATTGTAAGCGCTCACAAAGAGTTCTATGAAAATCAAGCGGCCATAATTACTATACAGACAATGCTAAGACTTAGTTACTGCGTAAATAAATCACTCAAAGACTCAACGCTGTTCGAGAAACTTGTAGGGGGCATGTCCGACATACTTGTTAGGTATACTTTTCTCATCATCATTTACTGTAAAGATGTAACGCAATCACACAAATAATATATTTATATTAATTATTATAATATATAATTAATTTTATATATTTATATATTACATAATTGATTATATTTGTAAGTTATTTTCATTGACATATCAATGACTTTAATTATTAAAAGCTTTATTTAAATTATTAAAAGCTTTGCTGAAGTAACTATAATTGTTACTCACACGTAGTAAAATTGAAGCATTTAATGATTTCTAGATCGCTAAAATTAAATGTAAGCTTCGACACGGACTGCATTCTGCAGCAAATTGTACTTTTCGTGAAGAATCTGGATATCGTAGAATTGAAAAAGAACAAGCTGAAATTTACGGCTGTCACGATGTTCAATGTCGTCCTGCAGAAACAAACAGCCTCCGATAAAAATACCGATGCGGAAATGATCATCGACGTTTGTCACGATATATTAAAGTCAATGACAAAGATTGTCAAATGCGACGATGATAATGACACGATTTCATTCGCCATTGATTCATTATGCAGTACCTGCGCTAGCAGTGCTCGGTGGGATATTCGTCAATTTATTTTTCTTCGGCGTCAATATATCAAAACTATTTTTGTTACTAATAAAATGTTTCCATGTCCGCAGATTCTGCCTCATGCAAGATTCGAGAGAAAAGAATCAGACCGAACTTAAGATTTACGAAAAGAAGGACAATTTGGAAATTTCGGTGTACCATATGATGATGGATATAATTATACCATACGTTAAAGTACGTTCGTTAGGAAATATAATATAATATAAATCTACTGAGAAAATAATACGCCGCATATAAATAAATGGAATGCGTCATAAACATTATTGCTTTTTTTAATAGGACAAAGGCTTGTCTTCTCTAGACTTGATCGGATTTTATAAAAGTCTTGTCTTTTGTCTGAACAATTTGTATCAGCTAAAAAATTGCAATAAAGACAATTTGTCGAATCATTTGACTGCCAATGGATACCTGAAGCGCTTGTTATATTTAACTGTGCAGTTTCCGTAAGTTGCGTTTCCGTTTCTAATGCTGTATAAATCGATAGAATTATAAGTGGCAATTGTAAATTGACAAACGCAATTACGTTATATTCAATATTTTATAATTAAATATATATAATTATTTTTTTAATAAATATATGCGACTAACAGAAATAAAAATAAACTCGCAAATATATATATATATATTAAAAAGATCTAAATACTTCAGACATCTTTTCCTAAATACTTTTCAAACTTTTGTATATTAACGACAATCTGTTCATTTTTAATTTCATTTTCGGATACATTAAAATTGCTAAGAATTCTTTCATCATCTCTTTAGAGATAGAGAATTTTTATGCTTTCGATTGTAATTTTTTTTTACGTTATTTTTTTAAATATTATTTTTTAGAATTTTGTATCTAAAAATAAGTAAAGAGATCCATTCGCATTTATATGCTATTCTTAGTGCTCTGAAAATCTTTAATATAAATAGTTTTTATACAAGGTCTGCAATATTGCAGAACAAATTCTGTGTATTACATATTATTGCTGAAGTTTGAATCTCTAACTTCAAAGATATATCTAAATCACTCAACAATATCATATACAAACCACGAAGCAAGGTTTCACATTGCAGAGAGAATTTACGAAGAAGTACCTGCATATTACTATCACGAATTTTGAGTATTCTCGGTAAAACAGCATTTCCCATAGAAACGACGAAGTTTGCGAATATGTTGAATCAAGGTCTCGTTGAATTACCAAAAGATTCAATAAAATGGAACAATGCAATAGCGTGCAAAAAAAACGGATCGGTCCTGATAATTCTGCTATATTATCATTATCTTGGCACAAGAGAGTATGAAAAAAAAACTATACTTTTCTGTATTGTCATTTGTTTCAAATACTTATACAATTTCTATATCTCTCCTCAGAAACGACGTGATATTTTTGGAATCCTTAATTACTAGGATCATGCTACTGCCAAAATCTACGCCTATCTCAGTTTTGATTTTAAAACCTTTATGGTTGCTATTTGCTGTAAGTATATATTTATCTCGTACTTGTTTGCGCTATGCACTGATTGCGTTCGATTTCGCAGGTAACGTCTCTATCTCATCCGCGTCCTAATTTAGTATATCATTATGAAAACGCAGTTGTTCAAATGATGAACATCTTGCAACGTTCAGAAATCAGTGAATTTTATACTCATCATGTCGATCTTTTACATTACTGTCTTACATGTCCGAACATTTCACAAACCTTACTACATCAGGTTTTAAATTTGTGGCTGATAGAGTCTGATGGGGATATCAAGCCGTTATCATTCAATTATGACAAAGTTACTGAATATCTGTTGGTAAGCAGAATATCTATTTTTATATGTCAGAAAAAAGAAAAGAAAAGAGAAAATATGAAATTATATAAATATTTCTTTCTGAACATTTTTAAGATAATTTTAAATATTTTAATAAGTTATAACATTTGACGGCTTGATTAAAAAAGCTTTATTTGCTTGCAAATAGGGTGTGATACATGGCAATTTTTCTAAAAATTTTGTCAATATTGCTTTGAAAGGACTTCGTCATTTAATGCAAATCATCAAAAACGATAAACAGCGCATAGACAATCTCGCGAATACCGTGTGGCAAACATTACCTGATATTTTTTCATCGTATCAACCAGATACTGGTTTGTCAAAATAATTCAATAAACCTTTTAAGAAATATCACATTACTATAAATATTATAGTCTCTCAGTTATATCATTAAATTTTTTAAAATAGATATTGTTTATACTTATTATATTTATACGTAAAATTAATATTATGATTTTTTCTAATGAAATTAATATTGTGAATTTTGTCAACATTTGCATTTGCAGTCACGCATATAGAAACAGCTCTGGAGTTAGCTAATATTATCCGACCATCCATGATACCATTACCTTTCATAATACGTAACGCCGATAATATAGTCGATATTATACTTAACAAAAATACGGACTGTACTAATATAAAATTCATGACTTTAATTTTAATGCAAGCGTATATCTTGTTAGATGTCGCTATGATACGCAACTCATTTAAAGGTAAAATACGAATATTTGTAAAAATAAATAATTACTTAGATAAAATTATATATGTGCATACGTTTCTATCGAAATATATTTTAAACATAGAATGTTTCAATTACAGTACTTAAAACGTATATGATGAATTTTCGGCTATTGAAATGGTTATACGTCCATGGATTTTCGAAAGAAAGATCACAATTATCCACTGCTAGTATAAAACTACTTACGTTTATTATTCATTGTCAAAAGAAATCATCACTAAAGGTATAGTTGCACATGTAAAAATTTTAATGAAATTGTTATATATTTTAAAATAAGTTTGTTTTTCAGTGCAAAAAGTCATTAACGATTAAAGTAGAACATTTGTATCAAATGTTGTTGTATGCAAAAAAATTACCGTGCTATATAGTGAATGAGATGCAATTCATGTGCGAACTTTTAACATCAAATGATGACGGCTCAGCCGTCATTTTGCAAAATATCGTAACTGAAAACGATTATATATTGATTGAAATTTATGAAATTCTTCATCTTATTCATGCAGAGGTCAGTTACATTTAAAACTGTAAGACTGAAAAAGCGTGAAAGTATCTTTCTTGTTGTATCAAAAGATTTATTCGTTGTTTGTTTTAATAATTAGGAATATTAAAGTAATTAGATAACAATCTAATATATAAGATAATAATCAGTTGACATATCTAATTATTACCTTTTTACAGGTAGATCCGATATCGCAAGATATGGTATATCGAAATTTAATTATTCTATTACATTTTTGTAATATTAAAGCAACTGAACTAATGCCTTATCTTAGCACCATAATGAGTACTTACAGTCTCATCAAGGACGTTAATATACAACGTCCATCGTATCACTTCAACGAATTCATCATTCCTTGGCTTCATTATCACAAAAAATATGATGAGTATTATGTACCATGGAACCCTGAAGCGCTGTTTAAGACACCCTTTGATGAAACTTTAGATAAGCTTAAAGAATATTTAATAGTCCTTAAAAATGAGAAAATGGAAGATGCCTATACAAATTTACAAAAAGCGGTAAGCATTATTTTTGGCTCATTCTAAAATAAATTATATAATCTGTAAGATTAATATCTTAATTAATTACAATATCGTTGTCTCTAATATTTTATTAGATTTTTATACTTTTGTTTTAGTTATTACAGTTCGAGTAAAAAATAAAAGCTTTGTAGATCATATCATATTATATCACAATATATGTGATTCGTATGTTTAAGAAGAAAAAGTTGTAAAACTGGATTTATATGTGGAATATCAAGTTTTTTGTTAAATAGATATCAATTAATTTCAAAAAGTTTGGTAACTTTGTGTTTTATATTTTGAGAGAACAAAGTTGTGTATAATAAAATACGTACAATATTAAAATAGTATTCTTTTTCGTCCGCTACATATTAAAATTGCATTATTCGAGTAACATGTACATTATAGAATATAAAAATTAATTTTATATAATTCAAAAAATATTTTCTTTCAATAAAATAACAATTTTTTATACAGTGTCATTATATATTGCGGTAATAACGTCATAAATAATACGTGTATACGAAAACAGAAAAAGATTCTTTTTGAATTTTTAATTTCTCGGTTTATACTTTTTTTATCTCTATGAAACTGCGTGCATTTTTCAACTTATTTTTATAATATGCATCTTCATTTCCATTCTTATGTTTCTATACATATTCTATTATTCATATTGTGCAGCCATCATACCATCATCAGTTTAACCCTTCCGAGGTAGCAAAGTCTAAGTAAGCAGCTTAAAACAATAAATTATTATCGCTATAGCGCATGTTCTTTGCCGCAAGAAGATCAATCCAAAGAGAATAACTTGCTCAAGTCATTAATCGTTTATTTCGCGATTAAAAGTTTGTTCTCCTTGCGCCTCTTCTCGAGAATAACTCCTCTTAATTCAAAGAGTACTCCTCTTATTTCCACGGTTAACTATTTCGGCTGCATGAAGTAATTCTTGAAAGCATTTAATCTCACGTCGATCTCACTCTCTTTCGACCGAAACATGTTTGTCATTCGTCAACATACTGTCCGCGAATGAAATAGTATATCGAGTAGTACCAGGTATATAGAGCGACACAGTCTACGGACGCAATTAACGGAATTGGTATTCCGTATATACAGCACCTGATCGAATAAATGGATCTCCTTGCAACAGAATAAGTTGCAGAACGAGTGTTTCCAGTTGCATCGTGTTTTGGTAACGCCGTCGCTCCTGCATTTTACAAAAACAGCTCTCCTCGCAAGCTTGCAGGAATTGTCTGAGAAGAAGCAATATATTCTACGGCAATATATTTACCAATCATCGTAACTACAATTACAAATTATTAACTGAATTATCTCAATTATTATAAATTTGTAAATGGTAAGAAATTCAACAATAATACAAAAAATAAATTGTTTTCAAATATTCCGTTTCATAAATATTTAAATAAATTGTAACGCGCGCTGATTACTTTATTACAAAATAAACTTCGTGCTTCATGGTTCTTAATTAAATTAAATAATAAGATAATTAACAGATTCATGTGTAAATACGAACCTTGAGATATTTCCTAATTAGTAACTTAAAAAATAGGAGCATTAAGTCGGATTAGTGTCAACGCTGCTTTCTTCAGCATCATAAAGCTGTCACCTCGAGTGAGAGTGTTTCTCATAACCTACGTCAACATTCAACATATATTATTCGATAAGAAAAAATCCGATTAACTATATGGCTAACTTACATTCTTGATGGTCTTTTTGCATGAATACTCGAGAAATGTAAAGGTCTTTGCGAGGAATTCTGATCTTTTTTGGAGACGTCGAGACTCGGACTGAGCGCGAATATCACCCTGGTGCCATGTTGAATGAAGTCGACGATCGATCAATAGCTAGGGATGGCGCTCGGTTTGTTCTCTTTACTGAGTTTCTTGGTGTAAAATAAGAAATTTTCGGACCCAACAGATCGTGAGGATCTCTTTACTTTACTTTTCGGAACCATTTATTTGTGAGAATATTTCATTAAGGCGTTTACATTCTTGAAATCAATAAATATAAATTAATGTTAGGAGTTTTTCATCTTTTTTGCACACTGCGTTTGAAATAGATCATTTTATTTACTATTTCTTTGTTAAAATTTGACACAATCTTTCACATCGCTGCAACTGCATAATTAGAATTTTATAATTTTTCTCGAATGACGCATTTAATGCTTACTATTCTCAGCTATGTTGAAACTCAACGCTGACGTCAAAAAACAAGATCTTATATTTATTAAAATTCATAAATTTAATTTTATTCTAAAGTTGAAGACAATAATATTCCATTTTTTTAAAAAGAGGATACAAAATATCTTCATAAAAATAATCAACTTAAGATCTCTTTCCTTTTTAGAGAAACGTTTCTTTATTAAAAAAAAAACTTGAAAACATGCGCTGATAGAATGAAATCTTTATATATTCTTAGCAGCGCAATAGGAGTACATTAAGTAGCTAATCCAACTTTAAAAAATCTTAAGAAAACGTAGTGGATACCGGCATGTGAAACTTTAGTTCATAATGTACAATTTAATAAAGTTTTCCTCAGACAGTTTTACTTCAAAAGAGCGGCCAAAAAACAAAAGAAAAGATTTTGATACAATTCTCATAACTAAAACTTGCACGGCTTAATATAGCGACAGATCCTTTTTTAAAAAAAAATAACGAAAAAAAATACATTTCTTTTGACAAATAACATTGTCACATTAGTGACAAATACAGTTAAAATCAATTTTGCAATGTGACATGATTTTATAAATAAATCATGAGAATAAATTTAATATTTTCAATACAAATAAGCAAAGGTCATATTCGGTTAAAGACGCGGGTCTTTGTGCCTAATAATACTTTGTGAATACGAAATTATGAATATAAATTTTACAATTTCTAGTTCAAGAAAATTATGCGCCGGTTATTTGTCGGTTTTGAAACAGAATCATAAACTGAAACTGACATGCATAATATCACAAATTAAAGTGACAAGCAATTTAATATTACTGATGCTAAAACATCTTCAAAGTTTGCAGTTATTTTCAGTTAAAGCGCAGTTTGCTTGAATTGGAAATTGTAAAATTTACATAAAAATATTATTGTACATCAAGATCCTCTTTGATGAAAATACAGTCTTCTCCGCTTATTTATACTGAACATTTCTCTTCGATTTTCACTTAATATATATTTAATATTTTCATTACATAATCTTGAAATCTGAATATGATTTCTCATGGTTTAATAATCGTTTTCAAAGAAAAAATAATATGTGTATTAAAATATGCTCGATTCTTTTGTAAAGTTTTCACATTAGAAAGAAGAGGTCGAACGAATGTTTTGGAAACTGAATTTGATCCTAAAAGGTCGCTGGTCGCTTTGACAATTGGATACCAAAAGAGAAAACCAGGAATACCAGGAAGAGCTTGCGTGTGAATATTCGAAACGAATATTCGGTTTCAATTTGTCGCGATCATTGACGAATTGGATAGTCAGCTTCTATTCCAAAATGGCATGCTTTTCCCGGATATTCGCAACAGTTAACCCGAAACTTGACAGTGTATCCTATAACATACATTTCATAAGCATTTTTTTACCGCTAGCGACGTAACTTCTCGCTTACAATTAAAATACGTTTTTAAATTGTGAAGAGTTGCATAAATGACAGTTAACTACTTCCACCGAGCAATTAGCATAATTATTGTCCAGCTTACATGTTGTTCTATTCCATATCTATATTTCATTGTAATATAATTTCGCGCGCATCTCTCCAACTGCGTCTAGTTCAGAATAACATATTTTCTACAAGATTTAATTACGACATTCATGCAAACAGATACAATGCTGTTCTCTCTGAGTGCTCATTAAAGAACTTATTATCTTCTCCAAAGTAAATGTGTTTAATTTAAATTGTAAATAAGGAAAAGGCCAATACAGTCGAGGCTATGTTTTTATATCTCAATTCTAAATACATCTTTCAGTTATATAAACTGTGCTTACTGTCAGATTTAAAACGTAATAATTGAGTAATTACATAAATTGAAGCTAAAATAATATCATAATTAAATTAATCATCGATTTAGTAATGAGATTATTAACATCTTAAAACACTGTAAATGAGATAAGATATTAGTAGCATCATTAAATCGACGATCAATTTAATTGTAATATTATTTCAGCTTCAGTTTATAATTGTATTTCAAGTCCGACAGTAAGTGACGCACAACGCTTATACAACAAAAGGATATATTTAGGATATATTTAGTACTTACATATCTATAAAAATATTATTAGACATCGAGTTCTAGCCTCAACCTATTGGTCCTTCCTTTCTTATTTGATTTATTCATATAACGGTCTAAATTAACTTATTAATATTTAATTTATTTACATCAATAAAATTGACAAGGCTCTGAAATAATCAGCATACAGATATTGCAGATCCGTTAGATAAATGGTGTAAAAGCTAGCTTTTAAGTTGTTTCAACGTGAATATAAGACCCGTATTTATAGCACTTCTACTGAGAAACTCAACTAAGACCAGTTTTAAGATGTATGTCTCGCGATAGATAGTTGTTGAGACTCAAGTTATTAAGATATCCATAACGTTATATATGCTGACATCAATTTGGAAAAGACATATTTCAAACAAGTATATATTAATATTACAATTACTTCTATTTTAATCAGGATCGAATATCAAATTAAATTTCAGATTTTAATAAACTTCTTACACAAATAATCTCAATTATGCTACAATAAAAGTTAATGATTGAACCGTTCGTGGCTCAAAATACCGACCTACATTCTAAGTATTTCATCCAATACGTCCTTGAGGCGAGATTCAAAAGTAATAGAAGACTATAAAAATACGACGGTAAATCAGGTTTCATTCGTGCGCGCAAAACCGCGGCGTGAATTATTGCGCGATTATTTCTTTCTTTTTTTCTTCAACCGGCCAACGATTGTGACATGAAATCGACTCATAATCCGTAATGCACTTTTCCAAATGAAAATCTCAGTCCATTCGAACGGGATAGCCGATTTACGGGCATCGGCGAACCATTCACGACGGTCGGCGAACTGCGAGTTCACGCTGGAACAAACCGACACCGTAACATTGTAAGCCAATGCTTAATTATTTTGTACCGCAGCCGTGCACTTTGGCGCACGAAACGGCGGTTATGACAGTCGGTGGGTGGTCAGGTCACAGTTACATGGAGCAACGGCCCGTGAAATATAGTTCGATAGCCGGTTTTGCCCTTTCCATCTGCAAGCCCCGTTTTACGCGTGCCATGATCGAGCGAACCGGTCGCCTCGAACCGGAAACGAAAATGAACGCGTTTTACCGGATAATCATGTACCTCGGTTGCCTAACGAAACGAGATTGGATAGCGGATGAAACCTGACGAAAGATATGCTACATTTACTTTATTGCGACAAAAATGCAGTAAGAGATCATTCTCGATAAAGATATTATACTACAAGCAGAAAATTTCATTTTATTGCTATGAAAAGTGATTACTCAATTTACTTTCTTCCTTTTAAGTAACGGTTATTTTTAATAAAGAATATTTTCTTGATAATAATCTTAAAGTATACTTATTACAAATTTTAGAAAAACTTATCATTATGTACTCAAAATAAAAATTTATTTTCTTTTTATAAAAAATATTATAAAATTGATCAAAGAAGCGATTTTACATGATAAACAAATCGAATTTGTTTTAATTTAATAATCGTGATTGAAGTATTGAATTTACTAGGATATAGAATATATTTTGAATAAATTCGATGCTTGTGATAAATTCACGAATATACGAATATATACACAGAGTATGTATTTTACTGTGTGCAGTTTGACGTGGATGATTTTTTTTTTTTATGAGGAGGTAATTTGTCCACTGAAAAAAAATATTATTAATTTAATTAAATTAGTTTAGTACATCCTTATTTCATTCATTGAAAAATTTAAATTGAATGTAATATATGTTTGACTTAAATACATTCATTCTCCACTAAACTAATTTAGTCAAATTAACAACTTCTTTTCGGTATACAGAATTTTCTCCAACTATATGGGTCTTAAATAATGCATTCACTAATCATAACGAGGGGAAAAGGAAAATTACGGAAAAAGTAAAATTTCGCGTGAGTCTTTAAATCTCATTATACTCGGTAATTGAAGACATGACATGAAAATAATTCTACATACCGGAAGTAAAAATCTTAGAGAAAGCTAACTCTTCTAAATAATATTTACTTCGTAAAAAGTATAAAAGAGAAATATACTCCACTCTTTTATTTTTGGCATCACGAACAACGTAGTGAACCGAGTCAATCTTTCTTTTCGATATCATTGATCTTTCCAGACGTTTTTTCGTAAAAAAAATTCCAGCGTTATACTGCATTTGCAATATATTCTTTCTTCTTTTTTGATTTGTAAATAAAGTTTCGGATACCGCGCCGTTTCCTTCTAGGGGCAGTGGAAAGATAAGAAACCGGCTACGCTTGAGAAGTAGGGGAAGGTCACTGGCATCGTAAAAATTCAGAGGACGAGGTGTCGACATTCTGGTGTCTTGGGCTATGTTACAATAATACACCTCTTCCGTGCAAAAGGAAGCAAAAAAAGGCAGATGTTGATTATAACACGGTGCGAACAAGTTTGCGAAACGAACGTAACGACACGGACTACTTCCACTACAGGTGTGTGTCTGTCTATCTGTTGTCTGTCTGCATGCGTATATGCGCGGATTCGCATTCCGAACTTTCTTAAGCAATTATGTCATAACACATGGTGCCCCCCTTTTCGCATCTCTACTTCAC